ACAGAATGGGAAGGGGAGGGGGGTGTTGGCTTTCCAGTCTCTTCAGAGTGCCAGAAAGACAAGAGAAGCATATGGTAGACTCCCCCCATCTCTAGGCAAAGGAAATGTTTTATGTGCTCTGTTCCCAAGGCTTGGGGAGTTCAAGAGTTCCTTACACCTTTGGCAGTAGGGAGACACCAGCTCCCTCCAATGTGGGAAAGGCTAATTAGGAACCAGGGTGGTGAGGGAGGTCAGGTAAGGACCCACCATCCTACACCAAAGCCTCAATTATGGAATCTCTTCTGACCCCGTTTTAGGTGTACACACACATATTCACCCACAAACATCTGTGCAGCTGTTTTCCATAGTTCCTATATAGTGGTGTGTGCTGGGGAAGGGAAAGTTGTGATATGGGGGCCCCATTGTGGCTAATACTTGATGTTGGTTTACTTGGTGCTCAATAGACATGAAAATTACCACATGTGGCCGGCAGGCAATAGTATCCTTGGGCCAGACCCACACGACCATGGTGAAGCTTCTGGCATATGGTAGGTGCTCAAATCTGCAGCGAATGAGTGAATTAATGCACATTATTGGTGTGGGCTAGCCCCAGAAATACTGGTCCATCTGGTGGTTTCTGCATGGGGCTGGAGAGCACGGCTGGGCATGGCTGACCTCTGCTCATTTCAGACTCCCATTATGAAACCAAACTCAGAAGGGTTATATGATGTACTTGGCATCATGTAGTCAAACAGAGGCAGAGCCTTCCAGCTTGAATCCAGACCGTCCAACTCCTAATTCAGAGCTCTCCTGACCACACCGCATTCCTTGCCTCTCTTTTGAAGTGTCACTAAGCCAGGGGGTGGGAAGCAGATTGGTAGCAAACTGCTGAAAGCCCCTCTTCCTTGGAAGTGCTGTTCCTGCTTAGGATGCCCTGCAGGCTCATTGGGCACAAGCCAAAGTCGACTTTGTTCTTCAGGGAAGACTCCTTTCCTTCCCACTCGCACTGAAGTTTAGGCCTAGTGTTGAGTTGGACAATCTCTGTTCAAATCCCAACTCTGCCACTTTCTAACTCTTGACTCTTTGTTTGTTATGTAACTTCTCTGTGCCTCAGTTTCTTCAGCAACAAAAAGTGTATTTTACAGATGAGTACAAAGAAAAGGCTAATTCCAGGGTGATGCAGACGTTAATGCATTCGCCTGCTAACCAAAAGCTTGGCAGTTCAAGTCCACCCAGAGACATCTTAGAAGAAAGGTCTGGTGTTTTACATTTGAAAACCCGGTTCTACTCTGAAGCACAGTTCTGCTCTGACACTTATGGGATGACCAGGAGTCAGAGTTAATGGCAACTAATAAACGTGTTGTACAGATACAATAACGATCTACCCCACAGGTTGTTGAGAAGCACAAGAGAGGAAGCATATACTGTGAAGGCTTCCTGCAGGGACTGGCAGGTAGAAGTACTCACAGCTATCAGTGAGCTAACGTATATAAACTGTTGCCTCCTGCTGCCAAGCATAAGGCTGGGCACTCATAAATGGTATGGAAATTTCATGGATGCAGAGTACAAAGTAGAAAAGAGCCAAGTAGAAAGAGAACAGTTGATGCGGCCCAGCTAGGCTCTTTGGAGGCTGCCCTGAAGAATGCTGTGTAATAGTCCTGTCTCCTCTTTCCATCCTTATGAGGTTTGGATGCTTTTTTCCAAAGACTTACAGTCAAATCCTACTCAGTCCTATAGGGAATGAACCTGGAGATGGAAGCATTGGGGTTTGGGGCTCAGAAAAGCCCTGACTGTCCAGGGCAGGACACAGCTAGATCTGTGTGCCAAGAAGCCTGGCCAAGCTTTGACCCCAGCCTCACTCACAATCCCCATTTCCTGACATGATAGTCCCTCCTTCCTGGCAGCAGGGCACTGGCATTAAAAGATCTCTGCCCAGGCACAGGATGCCAGAGCTCTATGCCCCTCTGAAGGGAGGATTACTCAGTCAGTCAATGCTGCCTCCCTAGAATGCCAGGACTCAGAAAGAATGCTACACTGCATTCCCCTCTAACCAGTGCTGACCAGCTCCACATTGGAGCCATTCCTGAAGCTTTCTTCTCCTCCATTCTTTTGGATACTTCTGCTATAATTCTCTTAATCCTCCTCCCTCAATTCTGTCAACACCATTTAATGAGACATGCCCCTCACTCAAACAATCACTATCAATCAACTCCCTCAATCCTAATCCCAATCCCCAAGAAAATCCTAATCCTCCTGCTTGGCTCCCTTCTACAGGACCAAACTGGGGACCCTGTGCCATTTTGTGATTAAGAAGAAGGTTCTGGTTCAAACTGGCAACAATTTACTGGTTCAAAAGAAATTCCTAGCTCTCCTTTGAAGAGCAAATTTTTAAGAGAGCTGGCCTACTTGAGATAGAATATACATAAAGCCTACTGTTACTGTGCCCAATTGGAGGGCCTTCAGGAGAAGTGTGTGCCGTGCCTTCAGGGCCCCTGTGTTAAGGCTTTGTACTGAACAACTCTAGAAGGTGCCATTTACAACATGGTACCCTAGAGTTATACCTGCAGTAGCTCTGGGCTAGCTTCCTGCCTTTCTGCAGAGACTTCAAAGGACCCTAGGCACAGGATCTCATGCTCAGTCTTCCTTCTCTTCATGACCTGTATTCCTAAACCAGGTTACATTCAATGGAGGTTTAGAGTTAAGAGTTTTAGAGGAAAACTGTCCTACAAAAGCCTGAGACTACCCAAATGAAGAACCCTGGTGTGGTGTTATATGATAAGCACTGGACTGGTAACCACAAGGTTAGCAGTTGCTCTTGGAACCCTACACAGGGTCCCTATGAGCTGGAACCAACTCCAGGACATACAAGAACCAACATCAGCACCCACATTAATGCATGCCCCAAAGCTTGTCCTGAGCCTTGTACAGGCTCTGCAGAATTTCAAATCTGACATCTTTTATCGAATGCACTGGGAGGAAGGGGAAGTGGCTGGCATCCATACAAGGAGACAGTTGGGCAGCCCTGTGCCATGGGGTCAGGTGGCAAGCATTTGTCCTCACCCACAGAGTGGGCTATGGAAGCAGGTGGAGGGAGGGAGGGATCTTTTCTTTTTAAGCCTTCACTCTTTACTATTCTGATTAAATCCCCTCACTCTTCTGGTGTGCCACTGTAGAATCAGCACTGGACTGCGAACTACAAGGTGGGCAGTTCAAATCCACCAGCTGCTCCTTGGAAACAGGGTCACTATGAGTCGCAATCAACTCAAAGGCACTTTGATTAAGCATCTCTTTTTCCTCTGACCTTCACTGGTCCCATCAGCCAGCAAATCGGCAGGAGGCCTGGGCCAGTAGCATATGGATTCTGGATAGACCAGCCTGCTGCCGCCCCTTCGCTGTTGCAGCCTGGCTCTTCCCAGCAGCGGCAGGGCAGGAGACTGCAGCTTGTCTATGCTGGGCCTCAGGTACCACGCTAAGGTCTTGCCAGCCGGCCCCCGTGAGGGTGGGGCAGAGCCTGAGGCCAAACCGCCTTCTCTGGGCCCACACCGCTCAGCCCAGGGACCCAGGCCCTGGTGTTCCGCCCTCCCTGCTTCCTAGGAATTACAACCTGCCACTTTGACTCCTGAGAGAAAAAAAGATCCGTATCGCTGCCATTTCTCATCATTTGCAGGATAGCATATGTGCCATGTGTGCCTTAAACGCGTTCCTAAGGAACTTCTGGATGCATGTAATTTGCTAGAGAAGGAAAGGAAGGTCAAGGTGTGGCCTGTACGACTGAGGAGGGTCCAGGGAGAGGATGTAGGGTCCTTAAAGAGGCTTTCTGGGTACCTGGCGGCAATGAGCAGGTCACGGGGTGAGCTTGCAGCATCCGTGCCCATCCTCCATCCACACCTACTCTGTTCTGGGGAGGGGAGAGGAGTCCCTGCCACGCCCTGTGCCCTCCCCTCCTTACCCACTTCTGCACCCCAGGCTGGGAGGAAGGAGCTTGCCCGCTGGGAATGCTGCTTTGATTTCCCCTCTGATCTACAGGTGCCTGTAAACAAAGTGCTGCAGCGACGCGGGCTCTGCAGCCGCCGCCCCGCCCCCAGCCCGCAAAGTTCGGCCCAAGGTTAACCTAGGGGCTCCTGCAAACGTCCACCAAGGGCCCCCGGCCCAGCTTCTGGGATCCTCTGTTTTTCCAGCCCACCAGGCTACGATGTCTTGCCTCCGACTCAGAGCCGCTCCTCTCTCTCTCTGGGCCGGGTTTCCCTGTACGGTGGAGCCCCCCAAACCAGCCTCCACTCGCGTTCACGCCCCAGCGCACCGGAACCCCAAACCTGGCTTTGGCGACGACCCAAAGGTGGCCTCGGGCATTTTCACCGCCATCTCCCTCTTTCCCAATTACGGACGCTCCTTTCACTATCTCACCCTAGGAGGACCGCCCTCTGCCCCCACCCCCCCATCAAAGCTCAGGCCGCCGCCTCTTCTCAGGACTGAGGCCACCATCTAAAACGATGTTATACGGTCCCCGCCGGCCCCACCCAGAGCTACCCCTCCGCAGTGCCCCGCATGTGGAGCCCGCAGCATCCACCTGGCTAGGGGTAGGCACGGGGGCTAGATGACAAAACCCATGAGGAGTCAGTCTGGGGGCCCAGTTGCAGCAAGGGCTCTTCCCTGCCCCCCCCCACCGTCCCCTCTGCACCCCGCACCCCTTCTTGATGATTGACCAGCTAAGGAGACTCTGTCGCAAGTGCGCGCCGGGGAGTGTCTTCTCTCCCGAGACTTGCCGGGGACTGCGTGTGGGATTGGGGGCCCGGGCGGCGGGGTCACCGAGAGGGGGCCCTGGGCTGTGACGGCGGCGGCTGGGCAGTAAACAATGGGTGGGGGGCGGGGGCCGCTGTTTACTCCCGGTGCAATTAGCCCGCTGCGTTGCGGGAGCCGCCGGCTGCGACGTGTAGCGCCGGTCACAGCGCCCAGGGCTCTGCCCCAAAGCACCCTCTTCAACCTGCGTCCCGGTCCCGGCCCTCGCGCGCCTGCAGACTCACGTCTCGAAAGCGGTTCCAGTGCTTGATCTTGCCGCTGTACTGAGAGATGGACGACAGCCATTGCTCGTCCTCCATGAAATTGCCAGGGGTCTCCCCCTCTTTGAGCCCTTTGGCGTCGCCTTCGGCCAGGGCGGCCGCGGCGAGGAAGAGCAGCGGCAGCGCCAATCGCCTGCAGCTCGGGGCGCGCATCGTGGTCCGGGTTCGATCTGGGCTGTCTTGACTTCTGCAGTCTTCTAATGTCTTCCTCCCACCCCGCGGTTGACTCAGCTTCCTCTGCCCTCCTCCTGCGGTCTGACTCCGGTGAGAGACGGACGGTATAGGTCGTGGCTGAAATGTGAACTGTTTAGGAGATGCACTTGTCTGAAAAATCTCAGCGCTGGACGCGGAGAGGAAGAGAGAAGCAGCGAGACTGCGCCAGCTGGGGCTATGTCTGTAACTGTAGCATCAGCATCACGTTTGACATCATCATACCTGGCTAAAAAAAAAAATAATAAGACGGGAGGGGGTAGAGATTTCAAAGCGGAGCACTAGATCAGAGCGCCAAACGCCAGTCAGCCGGCGGCTGAGCCCAGATCAGGAGTTGCAATCCAAGGAATCAGGATCTTGAGTACCCCGGCTGTCTCTCCAAGGGCGGAGAGCAAGGAAGATGGGAATTGAGAGAACACACACAACACAACTCTCTGGTTACAAAACCAGCCCAGCTCAGGTGTCTAAAAGACAATTTGTCCACAGCCACTCTTTTCCCCCTACCCACAGAGGCCTACCCCAGCACCCGACAGCTGGCTTCTTGCCAGTTATGGCTTTACGGTAATGGGTGACTTCCTTAAGACAAAAGCCATATAACAACTGGCTGCTCAGAATGACTCTGCCCCCCTAGCCCTGCATGCTCATCTCAGGGCGAGGCCTGAGAACTGAATGGCTGGTGAAACAGAGACAGATGTCCTTCTCCCCAAGCAGCTGTTTAGGGGCTGTCACCCTTTTTGTTCCTTGACAACCCTAAAAGGCAAATGTCTGACCATTTCATCTGCCTTGAGGCTGCAAATCTGGAAAAGGCACATTTGCTCATGGTTTTGATTTCAACTTGATTCTCAGAAGCCACTGGGGGAAGGGAGGTCTGTTTTGGGGTATCTTGGGTTTTGCGAAATTGTGACCTGTGTGATTATCTGCAGAAAAATATTGACATGCTGGCTGGGAAGGATGGAGGCTGGGCACAGTCCCACAATCAGAGAAGTGGTGTGAGGTTTATATTACAAATAAAGGGAAGAGGAAACAATCTGACAGAACAAAACATATTGAACTTTCGGGACCCAAGCCCTAGAATGTGCTTTTATAAAAAAAAGACTTGGATGCTGTGATCTTTCAAAACATAAAACAAAACAAAGGCAATGGAAAACATGATCTTAATCAGTTGGAAAAACCCAGGTTACAAGGATTATAGTCACCCTGGTCTGGTCTGCCTGGGAATTTTGAACGCCTCTATGTCTTGGGCTGGGGCCCTCTTAGGAAAAGAGAAAACAATAGTTCCCTTTCTGTGTTTTCTTTTTCCCTCTCCAGTTGAACTTGGTGGGGGTGCTGCAATGAGGTTTGGCTATTGATGTCTTCATTTCACAGTAAATAAAACAGTCTTCCTAGGATCGGAGGTGGTGCTATGTAGCGTAAGAGCACAGCTTTGCTGGCATATAAACTGGTGATGGATTTCTACTTACTAGCTGTCAATCTGGACAAGGTACCTGATCTATTTTCTATTTACAAAGTAATGGTAATACCACCAATTTCATAATGCTACAGCAAAACTTGAACAATATTACCAAATAAGCAATGCCTGAACACAGTGAACATTTAAATATTCTAAGTTCTTCTCCCCTTACATGAAGAGAAGGCTATGTGTCCCCCAGTTCTGAAGATTTTACCAACAGTTGCCATCCTTACCCAACAGCTCATTCCCGGTCTTTTGTTGTTGTTGTTGTTGTTGTTAAGTGCCTTTTGAGTCGGGTCCGACCCATAGTGACCCTGTACAGGGTTTCCGAGGATGTAAATCTTTACGGGAGTAGAAAGCCTCATCTTTCTCCCGCGGAGC